GGCTGGCAGAGACGGAGGCTGGGCCGTCGAGTGCCGCCCTGGCCGGCGACGGCGCGGCGGAGGAGGTGAGGCGCCTGTCGCAGCAGTGTGCCGACGCGGAACGTGGCCGTGAGGCGGCGGAGGCCGCCCTGCAGCGCACGGAGGCCGAGCTGAAGGCAGCGAACGCCAAGCTGCAGGAAGAGTTGCGTCAGCTGCAGGAAGAGTTGCGCCAGCTGCAGGAGAGCCACGAGGAGGAGTTGGAGGACGCGCTTCTCGAGGCAAATAAGCGCATTGCGGAGCACGATGAGCTGCTCCAGCAGAAGCTTGAGGAGCAGGAGGAGTATTACGAGAAATTGCTTGAGGAAAGGTCGCGGTTGGGGCCTGTGCCGGTGGCTGGGGCTGAGTTGGGCGGTGCGTCGCATAGGGAGCCCGAGCACGACAAGTTGTATGATCTGTTTGAGCGGTTACGAAGTGAATTACAATTGGTTTTTCAGGAGTATGCGGCTCTGCCAGAGGGCTTGCATGAGCAAGGGGTAGCGAGGAAGCTGCAGCAGGATAGACTTGCGTGCGAAAGTTGGCTTGATAGTTGCTTACGGGCTGCATGTGACGCTGCATTGGAGGAGGTGACCTCGCTGAAGAGACAAATGAACGAGTTGCGGCATGTGATGGCGGAGCAGGAGGATAAGGTGGCTGCGCAGGCTGGAGAGCTGCGCGACTTGCAGGAGCAACTGAGGTCAAAGGAGACGGCTTGTTCTGATTTGTCACATATGTACGAGGAGACGGCGTCTCTCTTGCGCGATGGGGCCACAAGCGTGGAGGAGCTTCTGCAGGAGAAGCGGGCTCGCATTGAGGAGCTGGAGTCAGCTGTCCAGGCGATGTCGCACCAGGCGCTGCTATCGGAGGAGCAGCTGCGGTTTGCCACGGTGGAGGCGCAGCAGCGGCGTCAGGAGGTGGATGAGAGCGCAGAGAAGTACCTGAGCCTTGAGGCCGCCCATCGCGAGGTGGGCGCCGAGCTGCGTGAGGCCAAGCGCCTGCTGGAGGAGCGCCAGCGGACCTGGTCGCAGCGGCTGGAGCGCATGCAAAGCGAGATGGAGAAGCAGATGTGCGACGCAGCGGAGGAAGCGCGTCGGGTTGGCGCTGAACACGAGCGGGAAGAGAATGAACTGCGCCGCGAGATTGACAGGCTGCGGGCGGAGTTGCAGACGACGCAAACACTCGTCGCCACAAAGCAGGCCACGGCGCAGGGGAGCCACCACCAGCTTGTGCACCTGCGACAGCAGTTGGCGGAGGCCTTGCATGAGAGGACGCAGTTTGCCGCGGAACTTGAGGCAGCGCAGCAGTTGCTGCGAAGGAACGAGGTATTGCTGCGTGGCCGACAGCAGGGAGAGGACGCTGTGGGCGAGGTGGGCGACAGCAGTCAGTCTTCCGATGCCCGCATCAACTCGTTGCTGCAGCGGAGCGAGTCACTGGAGGGGAAGGTGCGGCAGCTGACGGCCGAGAAGGACACCTTGCTGCAGGAGAAGGATGCGCTGGAGCTGGCTCTTCAGAACACCCGCCACATGGTGGAGGTGCGGGAGCTCGCGTGTCAGCGGCAAGCGGATGAGGTGCGGCAGACGCGGGCGCAGGTCGCCGCCATGAAGGAT